CACAAATCAAAACATATCAAAATTAAAATAAGAATTTATAGTAGTACAAATTCTAACATAAAAATGAAAAGCAAAAGGGGAAAAAATACAAGATAAAAAATATAAAAATAATAATTAATCTTCTTTTATTGAAATTCTAATTTCGAACTCATCAAGGGAAAATAAATTAAAGCTTTTTTATATATGTAATGGAATCCGTCTTTTAAGTTTAAACATGTAAATGTAGTTCAGCAGGACATAGGAAGAACATTTAAAATATTCACAGATCATAAACCCATAACCTTTGTATTTAAACAAAAGCAGAAAAAGCATCACCTCGTCAACTTAGACATTTACAAAACATCTCTCAATTTTCAACAGACAGACATCACATATAAAGTTGAGACAATATCTTGCAGATACTTTATCTAGAATTGAAGAAATTTCTTTGATCGACTAGATGAAATTGCAGATGAACAAATTATGGATAAAGAATTGCAAAATCACAAAACATCAGCAATTTCTCTGAAATTCAAGCAGTACTTCAACGAATAATATCAGACCATATATTCCTAACAGTTATTGCAAGAAAATATTTCATCAAATGCATAATGCAGCCCATCCTAGCATTAAGTCATCTGTAAAGCTCTTATCGTCTAAATTTATTTAGCCAAGTATCCGTAACCGTAAAGATAAGCAGCTTTGGACTCGATCTTGCATGACTTGCCAAAAAAGTAAAATTCATCGAAAAACAAAATCAAGTTTCGGCTATTTTCGACTGCCTTCAGAAAGATTGTTTGACATGCATGATGAGAGGTCTCTCATTGGACCCCTACCACCATCAAATGGGAATATTTACTGCCTGACTTGCACTGACCGGTTATCATTGTAACCAAAGCATTTTATTGTAACTGGATTTCAAGATTTGGTACGCAATGTTGCCTAGTCACAGATCATGGAGCACAGTTTAGTTCACAGTTTTTCAACAACGTATCAAAAATGTGTGGAATAAAATTGCAATATGCAATGGCTTACCATCACCAAGCTGATGAGAAGGTCGAGCGCCTCCGTTGATCTCTCAAGACCACACTTATGGCACACAATAGCCTGGCCTGGAGTAAAACACTTCCAACTGTTCTTCTTGGCCTATGCACAGCTGTGCAAGAAGACTCCGCATACACCACAGCTCAAATGGTTTATAGACAAAATATACAATTACCTGGAGAATTTTTCGAAGATAGTACAACTCCTACACCACCTGGTATTTTTGTCAAGCAGCTAAAAAACGTATGGAACAAATTGGACCAAGAACAGTATCCGATAAATATGTCAAAAAAATATTCGTCTCTAAAGACTTAAAAACATCACGTTTATTTGCAAAGATAGCGTTAAAAAGCAATTAGAACATCCTTAGAATGGTCTTTTTCAAGTGGTTGAAAGAAAAGAAAAATATTTTATTGTAAAAATCAAGTACAAAGATGTTATAGTATCCATTGATAGATTAAAGCCTGAATATATCTTGCAATTACCAGACGTAACTACGAAGCAATCAATGTCAATAAGACAACCTGTCAAACCTCCAACAGATTTACCTCCTAAAATTAAAAAAATTTCCTGCAAAAAAGTCGCATATAGGATGGACGATAAAGCCCCCTGTGCGATTTCGAGATTAGCATTTACATATACCTATAATATTTTTTGTAAATAGTGTGTCATGAAGATAATAATATACTCAACCGTATTTTAGTTAAGGAGTAAAGGGAGTAAAACAAAAATTTTAAATAATGGTTAATATCGTTTCATTTGTTTTTGGAATAGCAATGAAAAGATAATTCAGTTTTGTTGCTCTCAAAAAACTGTTTACGGTTGCTAAGAACATTAATAAAGATTATTTTTGAATTAAAATTATTTAAAGAAATGGAGTTCTAATTATAAAGATTAATTTGGAGTTAAGAGCCAATAATAGCATAACAGAAGACATACTGAAGATTTCAGCAAACAAGAAAATACTGTTTAAAATTTTATAGCACTATACTTCTTGTATATTTTAAGGGTACTTCTGTATTAAAGCCACCGCAGCTGCAGATTTGGCGGTTTTTAAGTGCCGCCAATCTACAACTAAAACTTTTCCGATAAATCATAAATTAAAACACTTTATTTAAAATCAAAGTAGTCAATTGGATTTCGGTAGAAAATGGGCCGATATAGAGTTAAGAATAGATTCAAAATAGTCTCTATTTTCTTTGACCTGATTCTGTCGGCATATGAACTCTGCTTAACAAGATTCTAAATGATCTCGCCGTCCCCCCGTCTCTTGTTCCTCCATTTAGCACTGCAACACAGTCTCTCAACTGTTTGTGTATGAACTCCTGTATCAGGATCAATAAAATTGTATTTATAATTAACTTTAGCATGTAGAAATCCTTCCTATTTGTTTAGTAACCTTTCCAACAGTCAGAATAAATTGTGCTACCATGTGCAATGATTTTAATAATTTTAGTAAGAAGGGTAGAGCCAGTTTTATTAAGAACAGTGACAGCAAACGAATCTTTTGTTTCTCTACATATACCGCCAAACACCCACTGTTCGGATAATACTCGACCACAATTATTTTTACCACTTAGTAAACAAACTTTCATGAATTTCCACAATGCAATCTGGTCCATCTACCTTCTTGTTTGGTTCAGTCTCCATATCCAAGACACATAATTCATGCATGTAATTGTTACAATCTATAACAGTTTTATTCCATAAATCAAGTTGTTTTTCACAACATTTAATCGATGTCAACTCCTCACACCAGCAGTATATGAATCTCAAAGCTAAACACAATGGAATTCTGCTTCCAAGTCCCACTTGCTGATCACACTGTCTTAAATTGTATTTCCAAAATGTACATTTACCAAAATAAACTTTCATATCATGTGAAGTGGTAAATTTTCGTTTTTTTTTAGTAAAATATTTTCCTCCTGAAAAAATAAAATTGCATCTTCTTTTGTGTTTGGCAAATCCCAAAGACGCATTTTCATAGCACTAAAAATGGCGTAAAAAATCAGCAAACAACAAGGCAAAAAGGAATAAAAAAGATAACTGCATGCAAACAACAGGATTGCTCTTTATTGGCACAGTAGCCCAACTTCTGCTGCGGTGGCGTTAATACCATTTTAAGTATTATTTTTTTCTCTAGACAGGCTTTCTATATGACTAATATTCCATATAATAAAGCACTATTTAACAGTATTAAAACCTCTGATATGTTTTAATAATTCATATTAAATTCCTGTTATTATTTTAATTTATAGTACGACACTAATTCTCATTCAGCTTTACAAAATGCTAACGTCACAGAATGCCTGACACATTTTTTACAGGTCTTTTTAAAAATTTATTAACTAGATGAATTAATAATGAAACTTGACTCTTAAAAATTAATATCTCGCATACTTTCCACAAACTGAATTTATAACTTTTCGAAGGAAAGGTGTACTAAATATTAAAATGAAAATTAGGACAATAAAAAACAAAATATGAAAAATACTAATGTAGAAAACAGGGCACATCCTGTTTTAAAAAATTATATTAAAGACTATTACATGCATTTGAAATCACATATATAATAGTATATTGTTAAACATCCCATTACATGTAGAATAAGGAAATGCACATCTTTACAAAATTTCAGTTTCTGATTCTAAATAAAATTGTCACTTCAATGCAAAGTTGTATAATTAAGATGATTAATAAGAATTTTACTATTTGATTGACTTAAAAGGTACAATTTGTTTTTTACAAATGTTAATTACCCTGAGTGTACTTGAAATACACACGTATCCTCGATGAAATTGATTGACCAATTTGTATTACTCTAATTATTTCTCTCTTCGGCTAACAAGAATGTTAGATCCAAAGGAAGATTTCTTAATCTACTCTTTAGATTCGGAAATTTAGCTCTGGATTTTGGAAATCTTTTGAAGTAAAATGAGGCACAAAACAAACATTATCTTTTTTGTTATACACCGTTTCTGAAAGATTCACTTTTATACTCCTCGAGAACAGGTTGTCAGCATTCATATCAACAGTTAGCAAATCGTTTTCAGCAACTCTAAAGGTTTGTTTACATCAGTGGAATACTGAGCCTAAGAAATGAATGTGGGAACTTGACAGCTTTTTAATAGTATTTGTTTCATATTCTAAGAAAATATTTAACTCTTGATGTTTTTAATAATGTTATTGCCAAGGCTGTTTGTTTAAATGTGTACATATTTTTAAAAGAAAGTGAGTAACTTTTTCACCCTTTAATGGAGCCATGAACTTTGCAAGCATTTCTTGGGCTTAAGGTTCCTCTAGTTGTAAACGGGCCTTAAGTGCACTCTGCATCTCAGTGCTATTTTTTGTTTTAGTCACTTTGCTACGAGAGAGAGAGTCAACTTCCAAAATGATAAGATTGTACACGATATATGTTAGGGTATTTTTCAGACGAAAACATACAAATTTATCAAGTGAACGGCTTCTTCCAGAATTTACATAAATCCGGCCCTGTTCTTTTAAGAACAGGGCCAGATTTATGTAACCTTCCCACTAAAACACTTTTTTTATTGTAAAATTGAAAAACAGTTACAGTCTGTGTTTTGATTTTCAAAAAGTTTGTAAACCTGGAGAAAATACCTTCATTGGAAATTGCAGATATTCATCAGCAATCTGGTTCTTTTCATAGATTTATTAATATTCAGCTACAGAAAAAAACTGTTAACATGTATTCCCAGATATAGACAGCTCCATGTCTAGATTTTCCGAGGCATTACCCATGTTTCTTTTTGATAATGAAAATTATGTAAAACTGGACTCAGAACCATTAAAATCCCAAATTTCTTTCTTTGAATTCTTATCATAATAATGCTATTTAATTTACAGGAAGTGTATCTGTGGGATAGATAAAATTTCTTTAGAGGTCTGAGACATTACACCGTAAAAATTTAGACAAAAAGTGATCTTCAAAAAGATTAATACGACAAAAATGCAACTTTAAAAATAGATTTAGTACAAGATTTATTTACAAACTAATTTTTTTTCCCCCAATGTATACAAAATTATTACAATCCTCATTTACACAATGAGTGTTCAAATTCTGAGCGTTACAAATCTGCATACACTGGCTATGCAGTCACCTTTTACTGTCTCTGTTGCTGGATCTATGCCTGTCTTTGCTATGGTGAGAATAAGATTCCTTTTCTCTACCTTTTGAATGGTGGCGAGATTCATCCCTACGCTCCCTTGAACGAGATCTAGAAAATAAATATAAAAAGACTCTTTTAAAAAATCATTTTACCAGCACTATTACTTAGATTGGCCCAATGCAGAAATAGAAGTATAGTGTAGCTAAATTCTTGATTTTTTATAAACATGTATTTTACAACTGCAAGTAAACACATAACAGAATTTTGAAAAAATATGAAATATTAGTCACCAAATGTTGTGGCTAGGATTCAAATTTGGTAAAATTGTTTCATAAATATTTAGAAAGAAATAAAGGGAATTAAAAAATCTCATTAAAGTTGTGAAAAAATCTGAAAAATTAATTCAGATACAAACAATTCAAAATCAAAATAACACAAATTACAATCTTTGTGTCTTTTACAAAAAACAGCTAAAAGAATGATTAACTGAGCCACATTTTAATACATAAATAGTTTTATTGTAAGTAATATTTTCTACATCCTACCCGGCAGAGAAAACAAACTGTTAAATTGGAAAAAAAAAAAAAAAAAGGCAAAATACCTTTGTAACATCACTAATGGAATGGTGATTATAGGTGATAAAAGTTTTAGTCCAAAAGGGAAATGAAAGCACTTGGATGACCATATATCTTAATACCATTTTTCAAGAACATCTTACTTTGAGATAGTATTCTATTTCAGTCATAAGCCTAGCAATACTTATGACATTTTTTTTTTCTCTTAAAGAAAGTATTGATGAAAAACATAAAGCAACATAAATTGCACAATTCACAAAGATAATATTTTAGTTATGAATCTTCAGAAATCTCACAATGCATACAATACCAATGTAGCCAAAATTGATTTACTCAAATATTTAATATAATTTTATATGACAGGAGAAAAGGGGGAAAAATCATGGACTTTTAAAAATTTCAAAAATACAATTCCACTAATATAACCATTTTTTTTCACATTCTAGACTGCACATAACATGATTAAACTGTTTTATGTAACAAAGATCATCTTTCAGTCTGAAGATTTGGTTCAAATAAAATCAAGCTATAGGAGAAAAGTTAAAAGAAATGAAGAACTAGAACTAAGCCAACTTAAGTTTCTCAAATTGCAGTGAATTTGCTTAAAAGTATCTTTACTTATTTACAGGATTTCTGAGATAAAACCATTCCATAGATCTTGAATTTTTTCTTTGTTTGACCATCACTGTATTTGCCAAAACAATAATATCAACTACAACAGAAGAATTTGACAAAGACGAAATTAAACTTCTATTTTTAGATTGAAGAAATTTAAACTAAAATACCCTTTTCAACTGTTTTACTCATTTTTAATTAACAATCTTTTAATGCTTTAGTTATGCTTGCTGGCAATTTCTTCCATTTCTTGAGAAATGTCTGGTTTCTTCAAAAAGCAGAAATTAGTTCAAAATAAAAGAAGGAACAAGGATGGAATAAAACAACTGCTCCTATTTTTTCCCCCCCAATATTAGACATGGCAGCCCTATCCTGGGTTTTGTTAAGGTTAAACATCCACATCTCAGAAAGTAGTTCGACATTAAAAACCTTCATTTAAATTTAGCAAGTGCAAGTAACCATTACATTTTGTTGTGGCAGGTCAGGAAGACATGTCTATGATTATATGGTACAGACGTGATTGAATTTTGGATTAAATTTGGGAAATGCTTAACAAAACACTTGAAATATTACAGTATGCATACAATGATGAAACACTTAGCCCTTTTTCAGGTTTAATAACACAGGCAGTTCAAAGTGGTAACATATTTGTGATTGATAAAGCACATTTTACAGATTATCTACTGCAATGACGCATGCCAAAACTACAAAATTACAGGCCCATAATGAACATTGATTATTGTAAACACCTTGAAAATCATTGGCATGAAGCCATAAGGTTAAAAAAGAAAAGAAGTTGTTAAAACATAATGCTTTTTCCCCTTCCGAAGAACGTTGCCTGGCTGTATGCTGCTATTGTGGCACTATATGAAATTGTGACTTTTAAAATATGCATATTAAAACGATGCTGGTCAGTATTTTCTTATTTTAAAACAGTCTTTTTTGGTGAATAATAAAATAAATTTTATTGTGAAAATAATTACAATTTAAAATGTAAACATTTTTTTTTCTCTTCAGTATCAATGACTCCCATGATTTGACATCAATTTAGTAAAGTCTGGTTCATTGTAGGTTGTCTTAAGAAGAATACAACCATTAGAATTTTCAGTAGTTAAGCTGCTCCTGTTCTTACTTAAATAACACATGTGAAAGTATTTGTTCACATTTAGAAGTTGAATTGAATGAGGACAAAGTGGCAAAGCAAACTCTTTTCAAAGATGAAAACTTTGTAGGAAGTGATGCCTGACATGTTGATATCATGAAAACATCAAAATCTTCTGATTTTTCCAAATCTTTCAGCAATGTCTTAAATTTATTTGTCCATAACACTGAATGTTTAATATCAATCATTTCCAAACTAAAATTGTCAATTTTAAGATATTGAAAATACTGCAAATTTAAAATATTTTCTTCTATTTTGATGGGTTTTATTATAAAAATACACATTTTGCCATGCTTCTTAAAAACTTGAAATAAACTCCCAAATTCACTTTTAAAGGCAAAATTCAACTTTTGAATATTTTAAGAGAGCTCTTTTTAGTATTTCTTTTTCATGTTGCTCTCTAAGCAAAAGAAAGAAACGAAATTCTTTCTTTTTCAAGTCTGTTTCAAGCAATATTAATTTTAAAGTAAAGTGCATCCATTCCTCATACATTTTCAAAATTACTATTATTATTACCTTTACCTTACAAAGTCACACGTTAAAATCATTATAATGGTTTATTATGTCTGTTTAGGACAAACGTCTTAAAAGCTATTCTTTAATTAAGACACAATAACACGCCGAATAAATACTAATTCAGAAGTCAAATCAGCGTTAATTTACAAAATTTTCACAGGACTAGTTTCGATGGTTCGGTAAAACCATCGGAAACTAGTCCTGTGAAAATTTTGTAAATTAACGCTGATTTTTGTTGTTTGACTTCTGAATAAGCTATTTTTTGTAAGAGTGCAAGATTACACTCATTCGGTAAAGAAATATTTGTATCTCATCCAAACACTCTACATATCCATTAAGAAATTTACCTTGACTTAACAACCATATTTTTAAAATGTAACAGGAAATCTCCATATTTCGATTCAATTTCTGTCAAAACTACTTTGAAGCATATGCTGATTGTGCTATATCATGTTTAGGATTTTAACAAACTTTTCCATTGCAGCTTTAAGTTGTTATGCAGATGCTTTTGCAAATAAATTTTCTTCATATATGATATAATGAAATGGTAAAAGTGAGCAGCAATGTTCTTTTCTATTAATTTCAAAAATCAAAAGTTTTTCCTCTTGTAGCTGGAGCATCATCAGCTGTTAATGAAAATAATTTATTTTTTAAATCCAATGTTTGCTCAATTTTTAAATTAGTAAACTCTTGTACTTGACAAAAAATATGGCATCATTGTTAGAAATGGTTATCAACTAACTGATCTTTGGTCGTGTCATTCACAGAAATGAGACTACAAAGTTCTTCATTGAATTTTCGTCTTATTTATTCATACATATCTACAGTGCAAAGTCCGTGATTTGGACTTCCATTATCTGGACCCCGAACCTCAAAGCCACAAACATTTATTTTGTATGCTTTATGCATGCACGTTTAATGTATAATGGACGGTATAAGCTAGGGTAAAATTATCTTTACTGATTCTAAGCAATTTCAATTAATGTTGCAGATTGCACTGTTCCTTAATCCTCTAATTGGATCCGCTTATATTTTTGAAGACTTTAGAACATTTATAAATTAACTTGACTTTCATATTTCAAAAGAGTTTCCAATTCGGAGCTGCCAAAGGATCTACAAAGCGAAAGCACGTTTTGCTTCCATCAAAAAAGTGGAATTGCGTTAAAAATGGTAAGGCATATTTCTCAAATATCAGGAGCTAACATTGGAAGTCACGTTATGAAATACCAAAAATAAAAGGAACTTTTGAATTTTTTGTGGATTCCGACACTCATTCAAGAATAACAAAAAAGTCATTCTGCTAAAGTGCAACATGACAAAGAGATAATTGATGGGTCAATGCAGCAAGGGTGCGTTAGGGGTCCAATTCTAATGGCTAGGCCAAAAATATTTTCATGAGAAATGAACTTAAACACTGAGTGCCATATTCGATCGGTTGTAAACCAATTTAAAAATGCCATGCTATAAGACATTAAAAATTTAGGTGAAAAGCTTCAGCTGATACTGAAGCTGCTGAACATTTGCAGATGAATCATTAACTCTTACTATGAACACTTCTCTCCAGAAAAATTTACAATGAGATGAACCTGGCTTTTCTGGCATATGTACGCAAAATACCTTGGCAACTCTACAGAAGCTCAACTGGTGTCAAAGATTCCAAAGCGAGACTACAATTTTAGCGTGCCATGCGCTGAAGGCACAAGGCAAACTTTTCGTAATTGGAAACATTCACACCTCGAGTATTTAAAGGATAACTATTCCCCCATTATATTCGGTGCAAATATATGACACAAGATTGATGATGACTGGTTTGAAAGTCATTAACCTGAGGGTCGTCGACATTGGAATTTGGTTGCTTTAACTGATGTCAAAATCGTCCCGATTGTTGATAACTGTTCGGCGCATATTACAGTTTTAGTGAAAATATTTAAATCCGTTTTTCTTCCTCAAATTGTATGTCTACATTAGCTATGATATGGGAAATATAAAATTATCATTTTTAAAATCTATGTTAAATTCCTTGAAAAATGGCAAGACTAAGACACAATAACACGCCGAATAAATACTAATTCAGAAGTCAAGCGACAAAAATCAGCATTATATTTACAAAATTTTTACAGGACTAGTTTCGATGGTTTTAACCAAACCACCATCCTCAGCTGCAAAACCGCCTTCGAAACTAGTCCTGTGATTTTGTAAATATAACGCTGATTTTTGTTGTTTGACTTCTGAAATGGCAA